CTCATTCTGGCTGGTAAGTGGTGCTGGGTAGGCTGCAAAGAGTGGGCAACACCTCTGACAACAGCGGCCACCTTTGGTCCTATCTGTTACCTGAGGTGAAGGGGTCATCCTACACACAGGTGCACATTTGTATCCATCCTCTCTACCAAACTTCTAACTGCATGGCATATTGGAATGGGCAGATAAACCAAGGTGGCCACCAAAAGAACCAAATCAGACAAGAGGGCTGACCTTTTCGTGAAGCGGGGCCTTCACTTATGGGCCAGACATCCTACATAACTTGGAGGGTAAACATTTGCAGCAGGCAACGTTGCCTTGCTCATGTGGATTTCCCTGCATGACTCTCCTTATATGACTGTTTAGGGCCCTAAATTGTGTGAGGAGCCCATGTATTGCACAACAACAACACAGTGGCCAAAATCCCATTGTGCAACTATGCCTGCACAAATCAAGGCTGTGGCCACAGTAGTTGTACTAGCACAGAGGTAGAAACACTTTTCGTGAAGCGGGGCCTTCACAGATGGGCCAGACATCCTACATAACTTGGAGGGTAAACATTTGCAGCAGGCAACGTTGCCTTGCTCATGTGGATTTCCCTGCATGACTCTCCTTATATGACTGTTTAGGGCCCTAAATTGTGTGAGGAGCCCATGTAAAGAGAGCGGCCGGCCTGCACGAAACCTTTGGCCTTCAAATGCATAGAATGCAACAGAGAGGTAGAAACACTTTTCGTGAAGCGGGGCCTTCACAGATGGGCCAGACATCCTACATAACTTGGAGGGTAAACATTTGCAGCAGGCAACGTTGCCTTGCTCATGTGGATTTCCCTGCATGACTCTCCTTATATGACTGTTTAGGGCCCTAAATTGTGTGAGGAGCCCATGTAAAGAGAGCGGCCGGCCTGCACGAAACCTTTGGCCTTCAAATGCATAGAATGCAACAGGGCTGGGGATGGACCATGACAGCACATTTATCTCTGCTATCACCATACTCTCCCTCAAACAACTTTAATTGCAAGAGGATTTGAAACTCTAAACACTGTTTTAGTTGCTTTTCCATTCTGGCTGATAACAAGAATCCAATAAAACAGCAAGAAAAACTTGTGAAGCTCTGTATGAGGGGTATTGCTTTAAGAAGCAATTAAAGACTTGGATGTTTCGGCAGGCCTTCCCATCACATAACTCATGACCCTCTTCTTTCCTCCCTTACTGTCTTATGTTTTGTGTATTGTAATGTTTTTAAGATTTAGAATTGTTTATTTACCTTTTTATTGTATTATTTATGATTGTTAGCCACCTAGAGTGGTCCTCACCCGACCAGATAGGCGGGATATAAAATAAATAAATAAATAAATAAAATAAATAGTATGGAACGTATGGTGATGCAGATGCTGCTAGACTGTAACCTCAGGAACGTATGGTGCTGCAGATGCTGCTAGACTGTAACCTCAGCCCTAGCCGGTATTGCCAGTTGTGACCAGCAGAACCACCGTGAGGAATGACGGGACTGGTAGTCCAATTCATCTGCAGGGCACAGATTCCCAACCTCTGTTCTATACCTTTTGCAGATCCAGCAAATAATAATATTTTCTGAGTTTTAAAAATTCTTTTGCGTCAATAACCCCAGTACATAATGTTAATAGCTTAAAAAATAAAAGGCTTTTCTGAAGGCTTCTTCTAAAAATAAAACTTTGCTAGCATTTAAATATTCTTTTCTTTATAAAAAGAAATATTGTGTATCTACTCTGATGGAGTTTTCCACTAAGTCAGCAGAACATTGTTCCCACTTGCCTTCCAAGGTGCATATTGTGCTGAAATCTATAGGGGCCAGTCTAGCTGACCTTTTAGGTGCACGCAGGGCAAAGGCTGTTGGCAGCATGTTTTCTCATGTGCATTTGAGGGGGGAAATGCACCAGACTACATGATCAGCCTGTAAAATATTTTGTTTTATTCTTACTGATGTTGTCATTCTTCATAGGAACACTTCTGGAGCCTTGACAATACTGAATTCCGAATTCCACCCAAACTACTTATCCAAGTGTGGGACAACGACAAGTTTTCCTTGGATGACTATCTTGGTACGCCTTTTAAAAATTACATTTGGGGAAAGACCTGACAGAGGAAAGACGTGCCAAGATGTACTTGAGATAACAAGTCATGCATGACATCATGATTGTTCCTGCCCCCACTTTCTTTTTTCTTTAGGTTTTGTTGAACTTGATTTGCACAATACAGTTGTGCCAGCAAAAAGTCCAGAAAAGTGCACTTTAGACATGATTCCAGAATACAAGCCAACCAATTCACTCAAGATGCCTAAGATTGCCTCGCTTTTTGAGCAGAAGTCCATGCGGGGCTGGTGGCCATGCTACATGGAAAAGGATGGTTCCCGGGTTTTGGCTGTAAGGTTCCATTAATGTACTTAAAATAATTAGTTAGTTATTACAATTTCATTATGCCCATCAACTTTTTATTACACCCCGATTCCCCCTTCTGCAACACCTGTCCCAGTAAAGCAGTAATGAGCAACTCCTATGGTTGAACATGGGAATAGTATCATTGTCACCATAGAACTGCAAAGCTGGAAGTGAATCTATGGATCATTAAGTCCAGCTCCTGTCAAGGAGGCACAGTGGGGAGTCAAACTCCCAACCTCTGGTTCCACAGCCAGATACATAAACTACTGAGCTATCCAGTGGTTCTCATTTTAGCTGCAATTCTGTCCCAAATGAATGGGTAGCATTGGATAGAAACATCTCAGTTTGGGGGACATCCTGTTTACATATTTGTGTTCCTTCAATCCCAAATTGCAAAAAAAAATCTCCAAACATATAAAGATTCAGCTTTGATCTGCTCTATTCAAAGCTGCCCAATTTAGTTTTGGATTTGGGATTCATGGAAATGTAGAGCACAGCCCATATGTGCACACATATGCAAATGTACATATTCTTCTATAGATGTGCTGTTCTATAAATATCTAATCTTGCTGCACTTACGGAAATAGGAGGAGGGTAACACTGGATGGAATATTTAGATAATCGATCCCAAGAACTGCAAGTATTGAAATTTAAATATTGTTTTTAAAAAATACATGAGAAACACTGCATAATTCTTTATAATGTTTTGATTTATTTGAAGGGTAAGGTTGAGATGACTCTGGAAGTCCTCAAGGAGAAAGAAATTGAAGAACGACCAGCTGGTAAAGGAAGAGATGAACCTAATATGAACCCCAAGTTAGACATGCCAAAGTAAGATACTTCCTTCTCTTCTAATTAGTGGTATCTTGTAAACCGGCTTCCCACAAGTGGAATGGATGTCTTTATTAATCTTGTGAATGCCATGTCCAAGAAACCTGAAAATAGGATTGTCAGCTGATTTCAAGCATGAGATGTGTGCTTATAGTTGGTCTCAGTCATTAATTATTTTTACCAATCATGAACTGCTCAATATGCAAACCTGCCCTTTCCTGTTGCAACTGGAAATCATAAATTCCTTGCATAAGGGAATTCATTAGTGCTGTTGTTACAAGAGGCCCATGAGATCCCTATAATCTCCAGCTGATCAGGATGCAAATGTAGCAATGCTCTGTGTTATAGCAATATAGTTAGACAGTGTTCAAAATCAGCCCTACCATTAGGCAGTTGCCTCAGGCAGTAGATGCTGAGGGGTTGGCTGGAGCACCAGCAATGTGTTTAAGGACAGACCTGGGTGTGATATAACTAGTCCTATGCCTCCTAAGTTAGTCTGTTGTCTCCAGATACATTGGAAGATGCTGTCCAGCCAGCAGTGCTGAACTATCACTCTGGTCAGCTTTTTCATGTGCAATTGAGGAAGGCATCATTTTGTCTTCTACTTCTTGGCCTAATTCTTTGCAAATGGGGACAATCTAGAGCTCTCTGTCACTTCCAGTTGTCAGTTTTCAGCGTTGATACAAAATGCCTCTGGTGGCGTAGGATAAGGACTACAAAATGGAAATGGACAACGCAGGTAGTTGATGGTAAAGACATTGGTTTCTCTGTGTGATTAATGCTTTTTCTTTCAAATTACAGCCGGCCAGAAACATCTTTCCTTTGGTTTACCAATCCCTGCAAGACAATGAAATACATTGTGTGGCGCAGATTTAAGTGGGTCTTCATTGGTATCATCATCCTGCTGATTTTGCTTTTATTTGTAGCCATTCTTCTATACTCATTGCCGGTATGCATTTTTAAATGTATAATCTCCTTCCATATACATGATATCCCATCTCCCTTGTCTGAAGTTGGTAACACTTGTATTCAAAATATAAAAATTTCCTGCAGATTTAAATTTTTTTATTTATTTCTAGAAGTGTAGCATTGTTAATTATTCACTAGGTAGTGGATTGATCCAAACTCAATAATATTGAAAGAACACCTATTGAAATCACTTGAATTTAAATTATTACTAATTTAAAGTCTAATTGATTCTAATAGTTCTGTTCTAAATACAGTGGTGCCTCGCTTAACGAGGATAATCCGTTCCAGTGAAATCGCTGTAGAGCGAAATCCTTGTTAAGCGAAATAAAAAATCCCATTGAAACGCATTGAAAACCCATTCAATGCGTTCCAATGGGCTGAAAAACTCACCGTCCAGTGAAGATCCTCCATGGGGCGGCCATTTTCAGTGCCTGTAAAGTGAGGAATCCATCCAAAAACACAGCGGGAAGCCATTTTACACAGTGGGCGGCCATTTTGAAGCCTCCAATCAGCTGTTTTAAAAACATCGTAATGCGAAGAATCAGTTCCCAAAGCAGGGAACCAATCATCACAAAGCAGATTTTGCCTATTAAAACATTGTTTCGCGATCGCAAAAGCAATAGCAAAACAGTCATCGTATAGCGGTTTTGTCATTTAATGAGGTAATCGTTAAGCGAGGCACCACTGTATAATTATTTTCCTGCTGTGTAGTTGCTAATTAAGTCTGAATCAAGGATAGGAAGGTATTATTTCCTAGTCTTAATAGGCAAAGATAGGATTTGAGAAGAAAAGATTAATTAGTACTTTATTTTTAAAAGAAAGAAAGAAAGAAAGAAAGAAAGAAAGAAAGAAAGAAAGAAAGAAAGAAAGAAAGAAAGAAGTAGATCCATTCACCAGGTGTGAGAGGAGAGGATTCAAATGGTTAATAAGCTGCAAACAAAGCTGATTTCCTCTCCTCTCTCTGCTGACTCCTGTGTTGTTGACTGAAGCAATTTAACCCTGGAAACCTTACTTCCTGGGTACAACTTCACAGCAGATCCATTTGCATTTTTCCTGCTGTGTAGTTGCACTCTTGGACCTTTAGCTCACAGTAACAGTAAAATGTTCTGGCATTAACTTAATCACTTGTCAGTTAAAATCACCCTGATGACTGAATGTTTAAACCCCTTTTATTTTTCATTTTTGTAGAACTATCTGTCCATGAAGATTGTGAATCCATTTCCAGCTTGAGGACAATACTTTCCCTTTAAACTTGCCATTGCAATGAGGTCTTCCAGCCTCTACCTCGGGACCAAATTTATTTGATGACCAAAACAATGCCTGCGACTCCGTTCTTCTCTTGTGGTGGACTCAACAGTGCAGGAAGTCATTTTATTTGTGAAAATGGAAAGGAGTATTTCCCCCTCTTTCCTCTGCAGGCCGGAGTCCTTAAGAGCTGCTCAGCATTTTTGGTGCTCAGAGATCTGCAGGGAGCTTCTAGTTCCACTGACAGAAGACCTTCTACCAGGAGAACAATACCACAAGATCCTGGTCCACATGTTTTCAGCCATTTCTAAGAATGTAACTTTATCTAAAAGGTAACAGCCACAGCAAGATGCTGTGGCTTTTTCCCCCTCTGTATTTTGACTTTGCCAAAGTCAGAAAATTATCTCTTTTAGCTTAGATCATATTTTCCCCAAATGTTATTTCAGAAAGTGTTTTTCACTTTCTTTAAAGAAGCACTCTGTAATAAAATCCTATGCATGTCTAATCAAAGGTAGATCTCATTAGGATCAATGGAATGTACCTTTGAGTGAGCATGTTTGAAATTATAGTCTTAAAGTGTTTTTTATTTGAACACTTTGAAATTTTGTCTCTCTATTTATAGGGGGGAAATGGACACAACATATATTTTTACAAAACAAAACACAGTGTTCCTCAGTGGTATGAACATTATATTGTAAAAGGTCATGATAATAGCACTAAGCTTTACTTCAGATTGTGAGCAAAGTACATAAATACAGCAAAATAAACCATTGCAATTTTCTGTTGTGATAATTATTTAACATCTTTAGAACATCAACAAAATATGTGGTAGTAGCATCTGTTGATAAACGGTAGTTAAAGTTTATAAATATACCTGTCACCAGTGTAGTGTAGTAGCTAGATTATTGAACTAGGACTCAGATGAACTAGGACTCTGCTCAGCCATGGAAGCTCACTAGTGGGGTTGATGGTGGCACTGGTAAAACCAGTCATTGAATATCTCACATGCCTTGAAATCCCTATTAGGATTGCCATAGATCAGGTGCAGCTTGATGGCACATATCTTTTCATATCCTTCATTGTCACATGCATCCCTTTTAAACAGTCTGTTTCACAGATACCTCTGACAGTGTTCAGATCCTGAGAAAACTGAGCGTATGTGAACCGGCACATTCAAAGACCCAAATCCCCTCTTTTTAAAATAACTCATTCACATTCAGTTGCCAGAAATAAAATGAAATAATGCCTGAGTGTGGGATCCACTTGTATCAGGGACTGAACTCTACTCCTAGCATATGTTTATACTTAAACATGTGAAATGCGGCTCTGGCCAAACAGTCAGGATTGTGCAGTTTCGGCCTGCTTTCTCTTTGGAATCCAGCCTCTCCTGTCACTACTGATAAGCCTATGGCAGCTGGTGAAGGCATGGCGCTCCCTGCCCTTACTATGAGTCTGTGTGAAAGAGGCATAGGGTTCTCAGTTTTCGCCTTAACCGGGTAAATGATAATGAGCTAAATTTGCTGAGTGAGCTATGGGTATAATTCCATGAAATCACTTCCATAATGCAGCCAAGAGTTTAGGGGCTGGCATGGAACAGTTCTCCTGTCAAGATATAATAGCCCTTTATTTCAGAGTGGCAAGAGCTGACTTGAGGAGTACGACCTAAGAGTGACAGCTCAGACCTGGAACTAATCACAGTCCAGATGGATTGTCACTTCAGAGCTGAAGCCATAATATTTTGCCAGTAATCTGTAACTGCGCCAGTGAAAGCTTTATCACTCTTGATTAAGATGTTTCCGCCAATGCCACAAACTTAACAGAGAAAGGAAAAACTCAAAAAAAGGTTTTATGCTTTTCATCCCATACCCAAAAAGTGTGCCATTTATAAATGTTCTCATCAGACAAGTATTTATCCTTAAATGCATGTTTGGAGGAAACTATTTCTAGAAAAACAACTTTAAAAAAGAAGGTTTCGGAGAGGTCTGAGCGTTTTTATTCACTTAAAGCAAACAAGGACTGGGCAAATTATAGGTTGGAATCTAGAAACAGCCCTTCAGGTAATATTCAGCACATAGCAAGGGGTTTGGAATCCCAGTGGGTTAACAAAAGCAAGAAAACCCCCACAGATTTTTTTAAATGAATTTACAATCCTAAAATGAAGAAGGCTTGTTGGGGGGAGGTGACTGGTAGTGTACTTTTGTGTAAAAGAATTGTGAGCTTCAGGATCCTACAAAGTAAGGTGATCACTCAGCTGACAGTTGCTGGGAGTGGCAATGCTGTTGCCCAACTTGACTCCATAAGGCTTCAGCCCTCTGCCAGGCTACTAACCCTGGGCTTCCTGAATAAGCTTGATGCTGCCAGTGTAATGGCAGACCCCCTTCCATCACCAGTGGTGAAGAAAGATTCTATTTGCATTCCAGTCAGTGCTTGTATATGGAATAGGGAGGGATCACTCTCTTGTCCTTTGTCTCTGGCAGCACAGTTTAGTTTTCTCGCTGAAATCACATCCCTAGCTCTGAACTTTGCTGACAAAGATCCACATATTCAAAGCTATGGTTTTTCCAGTACCCAAGTATGGACATGAAAGCTGGACCATAAAGAAGGCTGACTGCTGAAGGATTGATGCTTCTGAATTGTGGTGCTGGAGGAGACTCTTGAGAGTCCCCTGGACTGCAAAGAGAACAAACCTATCCATTCTGAAGGAAATCAACCCTGAGTTCTCACTGGAAGGACAGATCCTGAAGCTGAGGCTCCAATACTTTGGCCATCTCATGAGAAGAGAAGACTCTCTGGAGAAGACCCTGATGTTGGGAAAGAGTGAAGGCAAGAGAAGAAGGGGACGACAGAGGATGAGATGGTTGGACAGTGTCATTGAAGCAACCAACATGAATTTGACCAAACTCCAGGAGGCAGTGGAAGACAGGAGGGCCTGGTGTGCTCTGGTCCATGGGGTCACATGGACATGACTTAACAACTAAAAACAACAAAGCTCTGAATGTGCTAAGACACATGGGACAGGGGAGTGCTTTATGGAGAGACTTGAACAAATGCCTAGGACAGTGTGCAGCTGTGAGATTTTCATAACAAAACTGTATGTTTATCAAATTAAACAATCATTTTTATTTTCAAATTTCATACTGCAATATTTCAAATATCCAAGAAGGATGTGGAAGATGATGAAATTTTACAGATTTCTAATTTATTTTGTTAAAAGGAGGCTGCATGATACTAAACAACAGGCAGGGAGGTGTGAGGCTTTCTCATAAATCAAAAAAAGGGGTGTGATGCTGAAAGGTTTGGGCCCTGCAGTGCTAAGAAAACCCTGTTCTTTAAATCTACGTGTTTGTTTTTCTACTGCCTCTGGTTGATGCTTCTTGGAGATCTAATTTTAAAAAAACACACAAAATAGTGATCTGGCAACTCTGAAGTCTACCTATGCTAGAGAGTGTGATGATAAGTATTCCATTTCTAGGGTCACAGGCACCCCTCTTGATTTGCAAACAGTGCCCAACAAATTCCTAACAATACAGTGCAAAGCAAAACAAAAAACTCCTAAGACTTGTACAGACCCTTTAAAAGTGCCACGCTCCTAAGCAAGAGGCTGGCTACACTGACTACACTGGCCCAAGAACAGCTTAGGGTGCTCTTGAAGATGGCAATTAGACAATGTCTTTGCTAGAGGGCATCAGACTTCTCCCAGAACATTCCTACTTGCACCTTTCTGGTGCCTATCAAGGGGCTTCTACTTTTATGGTGCAGGTAGGATCACTCTGGTCTGGACCAGTTCCAGAGTGTGTGATCACTGGAGCTGATCTAAAGCAAGCTTTCCTCTTTCAGTTTGTCAGTATCGTGAAGTGGCCTAATAAGCAAGTCACTTCAGAATATTGGCAAATTAACCACTTTTCCTGCTTGGGCAGAAGGCAAGGAAAATTGGGGGGGGGGGTTTGCAGTTACTGTATGTAGACTATTGTCGATGCACTACATCAGTTATATTTAAAAATATTTTCTTTGCCACACCTTGAAGGGTCAACCAAGAAACTATCTGCAGCTGAATCCACAGCAGTCGTTTCATCTGCAATCAGTTCAATAGGGTACATACACTGGAAACTGGGTACATACATTGACAGGGTGAATGTAAGGTGGGGCATTATTGAAGGGTCTATGATTTGTCTCCTACTTTCATATGTAGGGATATAAGCCTGCATTTCTTCTGCAAGTCACAAGATGTCAGTGTATGTACCCTATTTCCACACAAAGAATTTCCATACATTTAGATCTACATGGATAGTGTTTGACATCCACGCAGAGAGGCTTCATGTTAAAGATATGTAAAGCAGAGGAACCTTTCAGTGTGACAGAGATCTAGTGCAGCATAGGATGTAAGATTACTGAACACACATTTCTTGAACACAGTAATCGGAAGGGAAAGGGACCTTGTTTTTTTTAATGCTATTTTGTAGGAAAAACTGCATCTTCCTAGAAACTGTATTCTACACTGCTTAGGAAATTGAATTTTAGCATCAGGGTTACTTTCTCTTCTGTTTCAAAAGAAGAAGAAAGCTGTTTTCCGGCTCCATTGATATAACAAAATAAGTAACTCATACATTTGTTGTGAGAAACCAAGAATCAAAAATGAGATTTTAAAACATTCCATAGAAAGATGCTTAGCAGAGCCATTGAAGTGATTTTGTTACTATACAAAGACCAACAGGATAACCTACCACTCTCTTTAGGTGGTAGCCTTTATCTGCTGCAAGGCTGAAACTAGGTTCCTGGATAATCCCAAAACGAGATGTTTGGTCAGCTTTGCAAATTGAAAGAGATTCTTTGGAACATAATAGGCAAAATGCAGTTGTTAGTCCCCATTAAAGTAGACCCAGAGAATCAGTGAGACTTAAATTAGTATTGTTTTAACAAGTTGTCTTCATTAAATGGGTCTACTCTGGTTGAGGATAACAACTGGATTTGGCCCTAAATCAGCCAACTCTTACTAATCTCCTTTCCTCCAATTCAGTGCTCTCTAGCTTTGTTGGAAATACAGGGAAGCACAACTCTCATTATCCCCAGCCAGCATGACAGTTGGCCAAGCTGATTGGAGGTGCTGGTCTGGCTGCTCCACTCCATGATTCTTGGTCCAGAGCTTAATCCTTTCCAGTGCATTTCAATGGCTAACAATCTGCCCTCTCAACAGGCTGCCCTTCAAATTAAACCCCATGACAATGGAAAGAAGACAGACATCAAAACATCTAATTTCCAAATGCAAAAGCTTCATCAGAAGACAACCTTTTCATGTAAAGTTGGTTTCACCTCCTGGCCCTGTTTGTTTACCAGTAAGAGGAGTCCCTTAACAAAAACCACTTTGGTGCCCTTTCCTGGACAATTTAAAGGTTAAAAAAAAACCAAAGGAATGTGCAGGAAAACATAATGCACAGAAGGGTTAAGGCAGCCATGTTAAACTTTCATGTCAGTCTGTGTAACAAAAATAAAACTGAAAATGTTGTAATTCATAAAAGCTCACACTGAAACAAATTTTGATGTGAAATTGTAGCAGTTTTTGAAACTAGCAGCTAAGTCTGACTAAAAAGAATATAGAACTCTCATTCAGGCTGTATATCCTGAAAAAGGGGGAAGCTGTAGTTAAACAAGGGACATGAAGGTGAACATATGCCCCACCCACTTAGTCCGCCATAAATAAGTCAACCAAACTTGCTTACAAGTCTCTCTTCAGACCTCCATACACAAAATGTGCAGGCCCAATTCATATCCAG